GACGACCTCTTCATTCAGTCGCTTGGAGTACGGCCTGAAGCTGTTCTCACTCTGGGGGGTGGGGGGGCAAAAAAACAAAACCTGACAAGGTTTGTTAGAAAACATTGAATGTGTATTTAATCCTGTTTTTGTAAATGTGAACAAGACTGAAAATCACAAACGATAACATGTGGAAATGTATTATTTATTCATGTTTCTGTTTATTATATTTTCTGTTTATCTGTTTATATTTCGTAAAGATATATGTACATTCTGATGCATATACATTTTTTTAATTAGTTTAAAATGTTGTTGATAAATCTCTGACATTTGAGTAATGCTAACAGTTTTTACATCAACATTTAAAGGGGAAATACTTTTTTAAAAGGCCTTTGAAGTACTTTTCAGAGTAGTTGAAAATTTGCGATTAATTCAGGATTATTTATGATTAATTGTTCAGATATGATGGGGAAAATTCTCACTTAAAAAGTCAGTGGTGCATGAAAAGCAGACTGTAGTCAAATGAAAGTGATTTAAAAACATCTGCAAATGCTTTTATCATTTTCCACGCCATCTATTGGGAAAACATGGGTATTGCAGAAGTATAATGATATAAATAAATTATATAATTTGGAAACATTTGGCGGACCGGATTAAAAAGCTGAGCGGGCTGCATTCGGTCCCCGGGCCTTAGTTTGCCCATGCCTGCTCTGAACCAATAAGATTAAAGATGTTTTTAGAGTAAAACAATCTTGTCTTCTACTTATAGCCTGGCTGACAGGGTCACTCCATTCTTCCTGTAATATATCATATATCTGACATATATGTACAGTCAGTACAGAAGGAAACGTGTTCAACAAACGGTGGTGAAAGTGCCGTCAGTAGTGGTCGTTGTAAATATCGACCACAGATACAGGAGGTTCGATGAGTGCAGATCAGAGGAGGTCGGACGAACCTCATTTTCCAAATGCATCACAGAGAAGAAGAATGCAACAAAAACCACAACGTCAAGAACCAAACCAGCACAACTTCTGTTTTCAATTTGTTATTGTCTGCACATGAAAAGTTCCTCTTCACAAAACTTGCATTAACTGAGAAGACCACCAGGGGGAAAAAACACACAGAAAGACAGAGCACAACTTTAGCACAGCTTTGGCTTCTCTTCTTCAGGCGTTCTTAATGTTTTCCATATTGAGAGACTCGAAATGGAAGCAGGAAGTGCTGTCACTCCGCTTTGCTTTCCAAACTTCCAGAATGAGGTTTTGGCTCTGTTGGATGCCAGTGTGGTAGATTCCAGTGCGGTACAGAGCCTGCTCAGGTTTCTGTGACTGGGGGGAGAGAGAGAGAGAGAGGGAGAGAGAGAGAGAGGCTCCAGGAGTCTCCGCCCTCTGCTGATCGGCACCGTTCTCCCCTCGGCCTCAGTCTGTTCAGCTCATTTCAGCCCAGATGAAAGTGTCTGTCTGACCTAGCTGACCCACATTCACTCTGCCTTTTTTTGCTCGTGTTGAAGCAGAAACCAGTCTGTACGGACCTGAAGATGGGACCGAGTGGAGCTGAAGGCACAAACAAACGCGGGCGAACAGAAAACGCAGACGTGATGCAGAGATACGCGTGTCTGTGTGTCGTTAGCAGACAGTGAGAGGCTGCTCTCCATGTTGAAAACCACACAGACTCAGTGTAAAGAATGAGCCTTTGGCTACGACCTAATAAAACTGACAGAGTTCTGTTCCTCGGTTCCACCAACAGAACAGTCAGACTTGGAGAGAAAGTCATTTATTTTATTATTTGTCTTTTACTATTTGGTGGTTTTCAGGGTGACTGAAGGGATGGGGGGGGGGGGGGGGGGGGGGAATGAGGGTGGAGTTCACTGTAGAACTTTACCAAAGACTCTGCTCAATTTATTTGTGTATGTATTTGTATGTATTTGCATATGTATGCACACTATATGTGTATACAAATCGTTAGCGGTTTTTGGGGTGGAGTTCACTGTAGAACTTTACCAAAGACTCTGCTCAATTTCTTTGTGTATGTATTTGCATATGTATGCACACTATATGTGTATACAAAGCGGTTTTTCCTCCGATCATAAAAGTAACAATGACTCAATGCCTGCGTTTTGCCAAATATACTGGAATCGTTTGCTATGTATTTGCATATGTATGCACACTATGTGTTTGTGTTTGTGTATGTATGAGGGATATCCGATAATATCGGCTGACCGTTATTATTGGCCCGATATTAGCATAATCATGTCATATCTGTAATCGTTATCGGTTTTCCCTCCGATCATAAAGTTATCGGACATGCCTAGTATGTATGCATATATATGTATGTATGTACATGTATGTGTACATATGCATGTTTATGGACATTTATATGTATGCGTATATATTTATATATGTATGTATAAGTATGTATGTGTATGCATATATATGTATATGTATGCATGTATTTGTTTATATTTTTACGTAATGCGTGTTTGTTTTACATTTATCATTGTCTTTTTTTTCATTTTTTTTGCTATTTCTAGAAGCATCTAGAAGAAGAACTAGAAGTATTCTCATACTCGTATACTTACATGGAAAGTAGTTAAATCACACCTCGAATTTGTGGCGAGAAACTTGAGTTAAACATCAATTTTCTGTTCTTTTCTTTGTGCATTCATTTGAACCTGACTCTGCAGAGCAGACGTTCATTAGAGAACCTCAGATTGTTGGGAACGTTTGAAGAGATTCTTTCAACTCAACTTTTTTTTCCCCCCCTCCTTTTTTTCGTCTTTTTCTCTTCTTCACACACAAAGACATCATTCCTGGTATCAAAGTGTCTGACTGAGCCGTGGCTGTTGGTTGACGACACAGAGCCTCATTGTCTGAGCTCGTCAGAAGAACCGGTCCAAAGTATACAGTGGTTTTTCATCTGGGCCTTTGTCTCCGAGTGAGGTGTTAAAAACAGGAATAAAAGGCTGAAACTGAGAGGTTTTGATCTTTACTTTACAACAGTTGGTGTTTGAAGTTGGCGAGCTAACGTTCAGCTCGTTAAGTTGATGCTTAGACACAAAAACCTCAACACGAGCAGAGGCTTTGAAAAGATGAGTTTGGAGGTTAGAGGAATGTTTTATTTCTCCTTCTGTTTGTCATCATCATCATCTTCTTCATCATCATCTACAGCACTACAGCAGCTGTTGTGAAAGAATTCTGAGCACACTAAGCTGTTCAAGGTTCAATCCCACAATTGAACAGTCTGGTCTAATCCGTTCCTCAACAGCACTCGTGTCTCGATCCACTCACAGACCAATGAATTCATTCCAGCTCTACAGCAATACATTATTAACCTCCACCCCATCTAAACATCAAAAACATAGCTATAAACAAATATATTTATATTACAAAATAATAATACTTAAGAAAACGTTTTATATCATTATTACTACCGGTATTTTTTTTAATGGTACACTGGTTTATTACTACCGGTATTTTTTTTAATGGAACATACATTTTATACCAAACTACATTGAACGCTGGATAAAACTAAACCTGATCAATACTAATTAATTAACTACAGATATATTTAGTGAGTATAACTAAAATAATACAGTTACATTGAACGCTGGATAAAACTAAACCTAAATAAAATAAAACTAAAATCCTTTGACTGGGTTTGAGACTTATACTCGGGTGCGACTTATTAAAATATATAATTTCACATGGTTGTTGTTTTCACACTGACAGCCGCTAGAGGGCACTCTAGCTGGCTGGTGCGACTTATAGTCTGGAAAATATGGTACACGCTCCAGATTATGTACTTTCATGTACTTTATTTTGTACTCCATGTTCATCATGTACTTGATGTACTTGGTGTATTTCTCTGACATTCCTGTGATACCACTCTGGTCTCTAACTCTCAGGACCAGACCGGATCCAAACTCCCAGGAAGCCGTGGAGATAAAGATAACTCAGTTCCTGGCCTGTCATATCTCCTCTGAACAGCAGGTGTCCTTATTGATAAGTTCACTACTTCCTGGCTGTTGTGGATCTCTCCTACAGACTCGGAGGTCCACAATGAAGTATATTCAGGTAATATGACTAAATATATTTTTAACATTTTCAATATCGGTTATATACCACAAAATCTTTCAAAAATTTATTTAAAAAAAAATTAAGTATCTATCATGTTTGTGCATAAAATGAAACCCTAAGGGTTAAATATGAATGTTGGGTTTTGTGTGGATTTCTCCCATTTGATTCAAGTGTTTTTATTGGATTCAGCAGTTTTATTTGTGATATCGGACGTTTTACTCGAGCAGATGATGAAGATATTTTTCCTTCTGTGATCCAATCAAAGGTGCCGCTCCTTTGTTCGTTCCACGAACATTGATGAAGTTTGTTTTTTTTCCCAAGGGTTTTGAATAAAGCCGTCCGTCAAAGTGAGCAGGAGGTGAGAAAACTATGTCAGCCTGTCATTGTACTGCCGCTGCAGGTACTAGCCTGAGCCCTAAAGGCAACGTTAGCTTGACTACTGCTGTTCATAAGATTGTTGGAGGAGTTGTCAACACATGCCCTGCAGTGCTGCAGTTGGCCTTCACAGCTGGGTTCAAATCGGAATCCCTCCTCCCTCTCTGCCCCCTTTTTTCTATCTTTCATTGCTCAATGTTTTGTGCGGTGTTCTGGAAAGGCCTGAAAGTCAAACCATCTAAACTATAAACAATACAAATATATATTGTATTAAGCACATGAAGCCAACATGAAGTTATGAACATATAACACATATGTAACCAGGTATATATTGGAAAATGTATTTCATTACACATGTGTATATACTATATGTATGTATGTATGCATATATATTTTTATATATTAACATATATTTAAATATATAAATATAAAATATATATATTGGAAAATGTATTTACAGTTCACATGTGTATATACTATATGTATGTATGTATGCATATATATGTTAATATATTAACATATATTTAAATATGTTTGTGTTTATGTATATGTGTGTATATATGCATGAATATATATAGAGAGAGACATATATATACAGTAAATACATATATACATATAGATAGACAGAAAGATATCTGTAGATGGAGATACTGCAATACCTACAGTATATAGTACAGTAGATACTATAGAAAGAGGTTAATTGTGAAGAAGGTCAGACAGTTTTAGTCTCATATCTCCTCTGCAGTATGAATGAACTGGATGCAGTACAAATGTACACTGAGATATTTATCACATTTTTGTGTTCACTTTTGTTTTTATAATTTGTTTTCATCTGAGTTTGTGGGTTTAATCTTTAAATAAATGCTCTAATTGCAGTGAATTTGCTGGGAAAACATTACAATTAAGTAAAGTCTGACACAGTACAGTGTTTAAATAATAATTTCAAATATTTGGTTTTGGTTTTTTTTATTTGGTTTCCACGTGTGATGTGGTGTTGTGTGTGTTTGGAAGAGCACGACACAAGCGAAGACTGTGGAGAAACTAACGGTGTGTTTTCATAACCTGATTATAACCTTGGAACAAGACAGACAGAAAACCTGCGACTCCTCCCGAGCATCTGTGTGCAGTAAGTTTGTTTTTGCTGCCATCTTGTGGTAAACATGGAGTACCTCGGGCTATCATTTTGGTGCGCGAGATTCAATTACCAAGTCAATTACTTTTTCTTGACTAAATAACAAATCGAAACAACAAAGTTTGTTTGTTTTCTTACGAACGAAGCCAATGGAATTATTTTATTTTATTTTTATTACCTGTAGCACAAAAGCCATTTGAGTGAAAACCGAAAATATCAAAATGACTCAAAATGACAGTCAGTTCAAAATTGACAGGATTGTTGGAGGACGTGAAGCTACGACCAGAGGTTTAGCTACGTGGACACAGAGCGTTAATGGTGAGGAGCTGAGAAACTACAAAATCACGGAGATCTATAACTACTTTGATAGCAACAAGGTGGCGCCACTATTATTATAGATACAAAATTACTACGTGTATTTGAAAGCAGAGGTAGATATTAGCCGAAGTGCTAGCCACCGTTAGCTTATCACCTGGGTTAGACTTCAACCGTAAGTTAAACCAAAATCAACAGCTTTCTATTCTTCTCCACTGCTTTTCATTCATAGTTTACAGCTTGACAGCTGTGTCTGTTCCTTATCTATAATCTATGTCAAACTCAAGGCATTCATTCATAGTTTACAGCTTGACAGCTGATTATAGATCAAACTAGATTATAGTTTGATCTATAATCTATGTCAAACTTAAGGCATAGGGGCCGAATGCGGCCCGCCAAGTCAGTTTGTATGGCCTGCCGGAGCTTAAAAAGCATTTAATAAAGTCCATGCAGCAGAGTTTCATAACCTGATAAATTTAACTTTGTTTTTATTAACAGGGCAATGGACAATATTTGTAATAATCAATTACATGAATATTTTTTTAAATGTTATGGAGTAGTTACATCTATACAGTCCTCCATTTACAACAGGCCTTTAAGGAGAACTGTATTTCTGATGTGGCCCCCTGGTGAAAATGAGTTTTTACACCGCTGGTCTATGGAACTGTCACGTCGTCACATGTTGTAGTTGGATTTTTCTATTATTTCTTTGTTTGTGAACTTGTATATTATCTTTTCTTGCTTTCAGTGCTACCTCTGCTAAAGACGTAAACACCAAATTGCAGGATGGAAATGGAGATGATCATTACGATTGTGAGTCTCTCATTTTCATATCTGTCGTAATGACAGAGCTCTCATTTCTAGACCACATTAAGACGCTCACATTGATCTCTTTGTTTGTTTCTCT